TACACTGCTCTGATAAGACCTGACTTTTCAAAATCACTGGGTGACTGAATAGGAAGAGAGGTGACGTGATGAAAAGATATTGGCAGAGCCTTCAGAACACAGCAGAGAATCATTAGAAAATCGGAATTATACGGGTCTGCACACCAATGGGCTCACATAGTCAATTTGAGTTGGTCACAGATTGTCATAGATCATTATTTTAGAAGGTGTGATTGAGAACAGAACTTTGGTCCCTGATAATAGGAAGCCTCTTCAGAAGCTGCCATGTTCCTGGGATGTATATTGGTTCTGGGACAGTGCCCTCACTTGCATGTGGTTTAGTGCAAATTCATTTTCCTTGATTTGGGTTTTGGCCAAGGAGGCCTAAAATGTTTCTGCATCAAAGGCCTCTAGCAAAGGTATGCTGTCTGGATGGAAAATGCCATTGCAGACTTTTATACATCTGTGTTTTACTACTTGGTAAGCTACTGGCCCTAAACACTTTTCCTTCCTTTCTGCTGCATATAGCCTCTTAGAGCAAACGGAAATATCCGAGAATGGGGAGCATGTGACTCTCGCCATGATTTCCATGGGACAGTACCGGTTCTTGCTGATTGATGCCGTGGTACTCTGCTGTCACTTGGGTTTGGGGAGAGTCCTCTGTCCTGTGCATGTCCCAAATTGTGACTTGGAACACATGAAGCTTTCTCTTCTCTGTTCCCAGTATGTACAATAATTACCTAGGCCCCCCCCCCCTCTCTTCTCCCACAGCTTTCTAGGACTTGTTGCAGGTCCCAGAAGGCTGTGGGGACCGTTTGCAAAGGTTTCACAGCCGGCTTCCCAAACTAAAGATCCCCGGGACCTGAAGACTAGTGAAGAACTAGTTCGGGTGAGGATGGCACTGGATCCCTGGACAGGTAAATGTCCTGTTTAAAGTCATCAGCTACAGTATTTGTAGCTGCTGACTTTTAATTTTTTTTTTCCTTTCTAAAGTACAGAACTGCTTCAGTTGCCACTGTTCATTTTGATGTCAAATTTCGATTTAGTTTTAGTCATTGTCTTTTGAATAAAATGCCGTTTTAGTCGTAATTTAGTCTGAAGTTTTAATTTGTACTGTCCCCCTCTCCCATCCCTCCCCAGTAAGTCCTATACTTTCCTAACCCTGATCCAGCAAAATATCGCCCACGAAGCTGAAGAGCTAGCTGCATGTCTCAATCTTCTGATCTGTACACTTTACATACGTTCTTACTTTGTATTCTGCTGGAACATAGACTACAACTTTTTCATAGGGTTTAATGGACAATCTACTCTGCAGTTACACCTTAAAGCAGGGTATAAATCTTAGTCCATTGAAGGACGGGTGTAGAATCAGAGTTGTTTCATTGCCTTTGCTATACGTTTGAAGTGCACATCAATTGCAGGTCAACCGCTTTACTTCAGTGGTGCATTGTGGATAACGGTCCTGAAGTTGTTTAACCGGCTTTGAGATGTTTCTTTTGAGGCAGCACGTCTAACTGAGATGCTTTAATTTCAGATGTGCACTTTTAGAGTTGCCCAGCATTCATATACAAAAGGCAGCATTGGGCAACAGTGCCATTAATGAGCCCTCACACTTGCCCTACTATCCAGTCGCCAAACCCACTGTTAATGGCATTGGGGCAGCTCTATCTGTTGGCACCCGAGTATAGCTATTGTGAAGGGCCACTTGTTTTGTCAAAGGGCAGGATCTGCTTTCAGGTAGAGCTACTACCTGGCTGCTGCTGGACAGTTGTCACCATTTAAGAGACTATACACTGATCAGTCATAGCCATATGACCACCCACAATAACCTGTTGAGGCATGGACTCCACTAGATCTCTGAAGGTATGCTGTGGTATCTGGTACCAAGCCATTAGTAGCACGACAGGTACACTTAAAAATAATAGAAAAAAAAAAAAAAGAGAGTGCAATGTTTGGCTCCTGTAGACTCTCGGTGCAGTTGTCTGCCTGTACCACCATATGGGCAGACAGTTACTGGAGAGCAGGAAGAATCAACGCTCACTGGCACCCTCACAGTACATTGAAAGCTACAAGCCATCTGCTGCAGGTGGGTAGACAGGATTTGTCATAGATTCATTCACAGAACTCTGCGAATGAATGACTCAGCTGTGTGAGTAGAGCCCTGCACAGTCACGCTGTTTTTTTTGAATTGTGACAGTGGATGCTGCGAGGGGATCCCCTGCCTGTTGTCACGGGGCGGTTCTGGGGGAGGCTGCTGAACACGATGCACCCTAAATGCGGGTGTAACATGCAACATGTTCAGAAAGGTGAATGTATCCTTTAAGACCTGTAAGTTGTGAAGTGGGCCCTCCATGGAGAGGACTTGTTTTTCCTGCATGTTCCACAGATGCTCAATTGGATTGAGATCTGAAGAATTTGGGAGGCCAAGTCAGCACCTCAAACCATTTTTAAATTCATTAAACCAGATCACCTTCTTCCATTGCTCTGTGGTCCAGTTCTGATGCTCACATGCCCATTGTAGGCGCTGTTGGCTGTGGACACGGGTCAGTATGGGCACCATGACTGATCTGCGATGCACTGTGTGTTTTGATGCCTTGCTATCAGAACCAGCATTGTCCATTTTGAGTAGCTCTTCTATTGGATCGGACTACACAGGCCAACCTTCGCTCCCTATGAACAATGAACTTTGGTGTCCAAGGGTGAGGGGTGCATTAAAAAAAACATTAATGACTGGATTATAGTTAACTTGACACTTCCCAGAATCTTAATAGATCACTTCCCCTGCCTTTGTTGAGTCATCACTGAGAGAAACAAATGGAGTTTTTCACAAGAACTGCAAGGATATCCATCCTGCAGAACCGCAGGATGACTCTAATCACTACAGTCCTGGAGTTGGCAGGGCATTTGAGCTTGTCTAGGCAGTTCTGTTTCTGTATAACTGCTGTGTATTATCTAAGTGATAATTAATGTCAGTACTGTACTGCTTGCTGGAGAGGCATCTGCACTGCATGCATTTCCCTGCCTCTGCTTCATTCTGTGGATCTTTGCATCCTACTCCTCTCCACCTCCTCCTTGAAGATTCCACCACCAGTTGTCTCATCACCTGTCACCAGGGGAAAGCTCAGAAGTGAGGATGGAAAGCCCTGCCTCTACCAATATGGCAGCCCACAAACCCTGTGCAGAACTAGGCATGGTATGTCAGTAATGGGGTAAAGGTCAGTTGCAGGGACATGAGACAATACTGAAGACTAGTCCTTTTCCCTCTGCTCCACTTTTTTTGGGCACAGATTCCACAGGACTGGTCAAAGTCAATACCAGAGGACACGTGAAAGCAGTTGAACAGTAAAAATTGTGGCTGTGGTTAAAGGTCTCTCATTTTGCTTTAATCTCAGTCTTTTGCAGACGGATTTAAAAGTCTCAGAGAAGAGGGGTGAGAGGGTCTGCTTCCTGTGCCTGTATTGTGCCCAGACGTTTAGAGTTGGGCTTTAATGCTAAATTCTGGGCTGGTGTAAAACGTATGCATCAATAGACACCAAAGCACCCCCCCCCCCCCCCCGGCCCTTTCCCTGCCGCTGCATGGGCTAGATTCTAGTTTTGTCTAGAGATGGATGAATATGGGGAAATACCTTTTTATTCCCCAGCAGGAGCCTTCTTTGCTGTCCAGCGTTCCCAGTGTGTGGACGGCCCTCTGATGGCTCTGCATTGTACAGGATGACGTCAGGGAGTCTGCAACTGGTATAGGGAAGCTGCTTTGGGGAACCAGCCATGCAGTGTGGAGGAAGCCTGCTTTAGCCAAGAATATAGCTGGCTATACACAATTTTTTTTTTTTTTTTTTTTTTCTGTTTAGCGGATAGGGCTCAGTACATGATTATTTAAAGTAGTACAGAATTGGCCTTTAAATGATTACCGTATTTTGCGCTCCATAAGACGCACTTTTTTCCCCCCAAAAAAGGGGGGAAATGTCAGTGTGTCTTATGGAGCGGCTGGTCCGGTATTCCCACCACCGCCGTGTCAGAATACCGGGCCGGCAGCTCGTCTCTTCTCTGTGGTAGAACCTTACCTGTTCCTCGGTCCAGTTCTGTACAGTCTTCCCACGCCGGTATCTTTTAGTGTGGGCTCTCGGCTGTGACAGCTGGGTGCCCAGTGCGCATGCGCGAGAAGCGTTGCACTTTGTGAATGGTTTGGCGTCTTCTGGGACACATGACAGGTCCCAGAAGACGCTGGACCAATATATAACCTTGTATAACCTTTTTGTGATCTACCATAAAATAATGGTAATATTATAACACATTAAAAATTTAAATCAAACCATAAAGTGTCCAATACCAATAAAGTCCCAAAAGTGTCCAAAAAGTCCAAAATTTCCAAACTTTCATCCAATAAGAAGGATTGACTCCTATTTAATCCGGCGAAAAACCTCAAAATAAAGAAATAAATCCTCTAGTGTATTACCTTTTTATACAAAAAGAATAATTATTCAGTGCAAATCACAAACCACTCCAAAGAAAAGTGCCAAAACAAAAAAAAAAAAAAAAAGTAATTAATAAAAGTAATTCCTTATATGTGCGCATATATTGGACTTTTTGGACACTTTTGGGACTTTATTGGTATTGGACACTTTATGGTTTGATTTTAATATTTAATGTGTTATAATATCACATTATTTTATGGTATATCACAAAAAGGTTATATAATTTGAACTTTCTAGGGAGAAAGTGTGACTTTTTGAGGGGATTGTAGTGGAGGAGGTTATATATTTATTGGTTTATCCCCTGTACTGAGTCCGCAGTCTCTGGTCGTCTCCTGTACTGAGTCCGCAGTCTCTGGTCGTCTCCTGTACTGTGTCCGCAGTCTCTGGTCGTCTCCTGTACTGTGTCCGCAGTCTCTGGTCGTCTCCTGTACTGTGTCCGCAGTCTCTGGTCGTCTCCTGTACTGTGTCCGCAGTCTCTGGTCGTCTCCTGTACTGTGTCCGCAGTCTCTGGTCGTCTCCTGTACTGTGTCCGCAGTCTCTGGTCGTCTCCTGTACTGTGTCCGCAGTCTCTGGTCGTCTCCTGTACTGTGTCCGCAGTCTCTGGTCGTCTCCTGTACTGTGTCCGCAGTCTCTGGTCGTCTCCTGTACTGTGTCCGCAGTCTCTGGTCGTCTCCTGTACTGTGTCCGCAGTCTCTGGTCGTCTCCTGTACTGTGTCCGCAGTCTCTGGTCGTCTCCTGTACTGTGTCCGCAGTCTCTGGTCGTCTCCTGTACTGTGTCCGCAGTCTCTGGTCGTCTCCTGTACTGTGTCCGCAGTCTCTGGTCGTCTCCTGTACTGTGTCCGCAGTCTCTGGTCGTCTCCTGTACTGTGTCCGCAGTCTCTGGTCGTCTCCTGTACTGTGTCCGCAGTCTCTGGTCGTCTCCTGTACTGTGTCCGCAGTCTCTGGTCGTCTCCTGTACGGTGTCCGCAGTCTCTGGTCGTCTCCTGTACTGTGTCCGCAGTCTCTGGTCGTCCCCTGTACTGTGTCCGCAGTCTCTGGTCGTCCCCTGTACTGTGTCCGCAGTCTCTGGTCATCCCCCTGTACTGTGTCCGCAGTCTCTGGTCATCCCCTGTACTGTGTCCGCAGTCTCTGGTCATCCCCTGTACTGTGTCCGCAGTCTCTGGTCATCCCCTGTACTGTGTCCGCAGTCTCTGGTCATCCCCTGTACTGTGTCCGCAGTCTCTGGTCATCCCCTGTACTGTGTCCGCAGTCTCTGGTCATCCCCTGTACTGTGTCCGCAGTCTCTGGTCATCCCCTGTACTGTGTCCGCAGTCGCTGGTCATCCCCTGTACTGTGTCCGCAGTCGCTGGTCATCCCCTGTACTGTGTCCGCAGTCTCTGGTCATCTCCTGTACTGTGTCCGCAGTCGCTGGTCATCCCCTGTACTGTGTCCGCAGTCGCTGGTCATCCCCTGTACTGTGTCCGCAGTCGCTGGTCATCCCCTGTACTGTGTCCGCAGTCGCTGGTCATCCCCTGTACTGTGTCCGCAGTCGCTGGTCATCCCCTGTACTGTGTCCGCAGTCGCTGGTCATCCCCTGTACTGTGTCCGCAGTCGCTGGTCATCCCCTGTACTGTGTCTGCAGTCGCTGGTCATCCCCTGTACTGTGTCTGCAGTCGCTGGTCATCCCCTGTACTGTGTCTGCAGTCGCTGGTCATCCCCTGTACTGTGTCTGCAGTCGCTGGTCATCCCCTGTACTGTGTCTGCAGTCGCTGGTCATCCCCTGTACTGTGTCTGCAGTCGCTGGTCATCCCCTGTACTGTGTCTGCAGTCGCTGGTCATCATCCCCTGTACTGTGTCTGCAGTCGCTGGTCATCCCCTGTACTGTGTCTGCAGTCGCTGGTCATCCCCTGTACTGTGTCTGCAGTCGCTGGTCATCCCCTGTACTGTGTCTGCAGTCGCTGGTCATCCCCTGTACTGTGTCTGCAGTCGCTGGTCATCCCCTGTACTGTGTCTGCAGTCGCTGGTCATCCCCTGTACTGTGTCTGCAGTCGCTGGTCATCCCCTGTACTGTGTCTGCAGTCGCTGGTCATCCCCTGTACTGTGTCTGCAGTCGCTGGTCATCCCCTGTACTGTGTCTGCAGTCGCTGGTCATCCCCTGTACTGTGTCTGCAGTCGCTGGTCATCCCCTGTACTGTGTCTGCAGTCGCTGGTCATCCCCTGTACTGTGTCTGCAGTCGCTGGTCATCCCCTGTACTGTGTCTGCAGTCGCTGGTCATCCCCTGTACTGTGTCTGCAGTCGCTGGTCATCTCCCTGTATTGTGTCTGCAGTCGCTGGTCATCTCCCTGTACTGTGTCCGCAGTCGCTGGTCATCTCCCTGTACTGTGTCCGCAGTCGCTGGTCATCCCCTGTACTGTGTCCGCAGTCTCTGGTCATCTCCTGTACTGTGTCCGCAGTCGCTGGTCATCTCCTGTACTGTGTCCGCAGTCTCTGGTCATCTCCTGTACTGTGTCCGCAGTCTCTGGTCATCTCCTGTACTGTGTCCGCAGTCTCTGGTCATCCCCTGTACTGTGTCCGCAGTCTCTGGTCATCTCCCTGTACTGTGTCCGCAGTCGCTGGTCATCTCCCTGTACTGTGTCCGCAGTCTCTGGTCGTCCCCTGTACTGTGTCCGCAGTCCATTGGTTCAGAGTATTTTTTTTTCTTGTTTTCCGCCTCTAAAAACCTAGGCGCGTCTTATGGTCAGGTGCGTCTTATGGAGCGAAAAATACGGTACAACATGCATTGCAAAAGCTGGGTACACAGTGTTCAGACTAAATGAAGGAAAAAAAAGAAACAAACCAAGCTTCCCACATCCACACAAGCATGATTGCAGAAATCCCCCCATAGTACTATTGTATTCTGGCAGCAGGACTGCTGATCTGCCACAATAGGCTGATTGGCTGCAAGCTGTTGATCGAAGCGTTTTCCAGCAGGACTGTTCTATTGAACCAGAAGGGCTACACATAGACCGGAATTCAGCTGGTCTCCAAAAGCAAACATTTTATTATATTGCAGCTTACTAATTCTTAGATGTGATGGCTGCTTTAGTTTTCTGTTAGGCTTTCTCTCTTCTGTTTGAACTGGTGATCCAGCCAGTAAGTCCTTATTCCTTTTTTTTTTTTTTTTTTCTTTTTTTTTTTTTTTCTTAAAAGCTCATGCTCTCCAGCAGGGGTGGTTTAAAATGGTGAACTTTTTATTTATTCATGTAAAACATTTATCCCAAAAAGAAAAACTGTTTGCTATAACTGCATATAAAGTGTGAGCTGGATTTTTAACTTCAGTTTGTTACCGTAACAAAATCCGCTAATACATTTAACACTCCCCTCCCCTGAGATTAAGGGCTCGTTCACACTTGACTTTATTTCTAAGTCTTGCCAAACGCCCCTATAGCGTTTGGGATGCGTTCTTAACGCTTTTCAAGCGCTCCCCAAACGCCCCATGCGCGGTTTTGAGGCGGTTGATAGGCGTTTGCCAAGCGTTAAATCCGCACCACAAACTCCAATGACGTTAAATGGTATTAACGCTCCGCAACCGCACCGCAAACACCTGCCAGGCGTTTGCGGAGCGGCACCATAGACTTGAATGGGAAGCTTCAACTCCTCCGGACTCAACATGAGGCATCAGTTTTGTTGCGACGCTAACGCTTCCGTGTGAACAGTACTGTGTGCTGCCATGTGTAGAATTTTCATAGGCGTTTGAGAAGCATTAAAAACGCTTCCCTGACACCTGCTGACAAAGCTAGTGTGAATGTAGCCTAACACTTAACATAGGGCAGCACAGTGGCTAAATGGTTAGCACTTCCGCCTGGCAGTACTAGGGTCGTTGGTTCGAATCCCACCCACAGCACCACCTGCCTGGAGTTTGCATGTTCTCCCTATGCCTGTGTGGGTTTCCTCCAGGTACTCCGGTTTCCTCCCACACTCCAAAGACATGCTGGGAGGTTAATTGGCTCCTGTCTAAATTGTCCCTAGTATGTGTATGTATGAATGTGAGTTAGGGACCTTAGATTGTACACCCCTTGAGGGTTAGGGACTGATGTGAATGTACAATATATATGTAAAGCGCTGCGTAAATTGACAGCACTATATAAGTACTCTGGAGGAAGGAGCACAAGAGGCAGCAGCAGACAGCAGAAGTGTTTTATTTATTTCAGGTAATGTCTTAGTATACAGGAGGTGTGTTACTTGTTCAGATCATCAGGTGAAAACCAAAGAGGGGGAAAACCCAAAGAAAACTAATGCAGCCACCACATTTAATGATTGTTAAGCTGCAATGTATTAAATTTTTTTTTGTTTTTTTGGCTTAATACTGTTTTTTTTTTAAGAATTTGTGAGCATTGCTGTATGCCATGAAGCACCATGTAATTTATTGTGCAGGTCGCCCCTCTGCAGCTCCGTTCTGTGTACAATCGGTGAGTGGTGTAAAGTGCTGAGTGGGTGTATACTCTGAGTGCTTTCTCTGCAGGATGATGACACAATGTCTTTCCTCTGTGGATATTTGTATCGGCTTCCTGTTGGTCCTGCGCTCGGGTGAATAATACCCAGAGTGCTTATTTTTTTTTTTATCACAGGCCTGACGCAGCACATGCCACAAAAACCAGCCATTTGTTTGTTATCCTTGATTGTGACAATCAGAGCTGCTCTGCTGCCTTCCTTCCTCTTTGTGTGTCTGAACACTGTGCTTGCTGAGAGCTAAAAATATTTCATTCTATTCCAGCGCACAGCACGCTGCCTTTCTTCTCCTCGTTCTCCCAGCCGATCTGCTTTTGTGTTCTGTGATATGCAGCATTTTATACCCTACAGTTTTCACCGGGGTTTTGGTTTTCCTTTTCTTTTTTTTGTTTTATTTTTTCCCTCTTCTTATGAATGCCTCCAGTTTTTATTATGTTTACTTTCACTTGGGATGAAGTATTTTTTTTTTCCTTTCCCCACGTGTATAAATCGTGAACACAGATTCTCTTACCACTTATCTTTCATCAGTCTCTATGCTGATGACACGCAAATCTGTCTGTGTACCCCTCACCTCCCTACTCTCTAGCTCCCTTATCTCCTCCTCCCATGCTCGTCTCTAAGACTTCTTCAGGGTTTTTCGCTTTCTTCCACGTCTTTCAGGTTTTGGTTGCCATTTTAAGCATTTGCGATCATTTTAGCTGAGCAGCCCTATCATTTTCTGCACTTCTTTATATGTTTTCCCCTCTCCAATCAACGTTTTAATCACGGTACGCTGTTCTTCTGAACAATGTCTGGAACGACCCATTTTCCTCAGAATTTCAGAGAGAAATGCACTGTAACCAGCATGTACAACATTTGCTGCCTTCCTTCCTTAACCATTTCAATACCGGGCAATTTTACACCTTCCTGCCCAGGCCATTTTTCACGTTTCAGCGCTCTCACACTTTTGAATGACAATTGCGCGGTCATACAACATTGTACCCAACTAAAAATTTTATCATTTTCTTCACACAACTAGAGCTTTCTTTTGGTGGTATTTAATCAACGCTGGGGTTTTTATTTTTTGCTAAATTAACAAAAAAAGACCAAAAAATTTGAAAAAAACACGTTTTTTCTTTGTTTCTGTTATAAAAGTTTACAAATAAATAATTGTTCTTCATAAATTTAGGCCGAGATGTATTCTGCTACATGTCTTTGGTGAAAATAACCCAAATTAGGATGTATTTTTTAGTTTGTAGGAAAGTTATAGAGTTCACAAACTATGGTATAGATCTGATTATTGATCAATCCTGAAGTACTGACAGCCAATCTAATTTCTTGAGGTCCAAGAATGTCAGAACAGTACAGATATCCCCCAATGTCAGGACAGTACAGATATCCCCCAAATGTCAGGACAGTACAGATATCCCCCAAATGTCAGAACAGTACAGAGATATCCCCCAAATGTCAGAACAGATGGCGATTTTTTTGAAGTTGTATTTTTTTTTGTCATTTTTTGGAAAATAAAAAAATTATTTTCACTATTTTCTTTTTACATACTGTCACCAGTGCAGTACAGCGTCATCATATAACTGGCATGGCGGTGAACAGGGACACTGACTGGTGACAGTATGAAAAAAAAAAATATATTTTTTTTTCATTTTTTTTATTTTTTTTATTATTTTTTAATTTTTTGTTACACTTTTTTTAATTTTTTTTTTTAAGTTTTTTTTTTTTTTTCATATTGTACTATGACCAAAGTAGTACAATGTTACCATAGTAACATTGTACTACTTTGGGGAAGTGATCAGTATTTTTTTTTTTTTTTTTTTTTTACACAATTTGCTTATAGCAAAGAATCACTTTGCTGTAAGCAAGCATTTACCTAAATGAAATCGATTCATTCAGGGTTTTTTTTTTTTTTTTTTGTGCTTAGCTGTGATTTGGTCACAGCTAAACACATGACATGTGCATGTGATTAGCTGTGACCATTCACAGCTAGGCAGTAGTATACAATGGATGGCATGAATGAAGCCATCCATTGTATACAACTGTCATGTGACCTGCTGTGATTGGTCACAGCAGGTCACATGGTACCAGCAACGGGGGCCGGTACTCAGATCTGTCATCGGGCGTGTCCGAGGTACACGGCGGGTGACAGATCGCGCTGCTTCGAGGCTCTGCATTACTGCAAACTGCGCATGTGCGGGTGCACGCCAAATGGCGTGCACCCAGAATGCCGCAGCACTTCTGAAGCCGCCAAACGGCCATTGGCCGGGCGGCTAATGGTTAAATAAGGGCAATAATTGCCACCTGATTTTCAAAGAATGAATGACCTCACTAATAGAACTCCACTGCTATTATTTTGAACATGCCTCTTTCAATTAGTGATTCAATTACACAGAATCAGCAGCATGCATGTCATGACTGTTGGGTCTGTTGGATTTCTATTACTCTACTACACCTGCTAGTAAATTATTTGCCATGTAGAAATACCATATCTACCAAAAACAGTGATTGATCCGGTTAGTGATGTCTGACTGTTATTATATTGGACACAACTCTACATCCAGAACACTTTGGTCAAGTTGCTTCCTTCTTACATAGAATACATTGTTGCAACTGGAAGTCTTTGATTGCATGGCTCCTGCGTCTGTCCTGGCTCCTTGCTTTGTAACGATGTTGCTGATCCCCGGTTTATATTCAGTATTCTTGTGATTTCACTAGGTGCACCTGTAGTACTTGGAGCTGGTCGTAGATCTGCTGTCAGATCATTTTAAATGTTCCCAGCATTGGTGTGGTGTGACACCGAATAACCTGAAGGTTGTAGAACACACGTGGCTGTAAATGAAGTATATTCATGTATCTTGTTATACATCAAACCCACTGACATTGTGACAGTTGGGTAACACAAGGATGAACAATGCGTAGAGATCTTAAAAGCTTTTCCTCATGGTTGGTTTTTCCATTTTAAACACTCGAGATGTTTTTACAGCAAGTGTGACTGGTATTAAAAGGGATTTTTATGGTTTTTGCAGTCCGACTCATGAAAAATGAAGTAGATGCCATTTTTAAATACACAATGCATGAGAAACTTGTAGCAGGTCTTTCAGCAAGTGTCATGTCTGTCCCAGTTCTGACACATACTGCCTGGGAATAATAATGGAAGCTAAATTGACTTTCTAGGGAGTGTCAGACAGGACAGAAAAGAAGCCCGCATCACGCTGTGCTGAGAGAAATTGGACATGGTCAGTATTGATTAGAGATGGGTTCTAATCTGTCCAGCTGTCTTCTTCGCTTCACAGGACGTTCTGCATCCCCAACTTTTTGTCCAGTCTATTTGATGCAGCATAGACATGCCTGCAGGTTCCAGCAAAAAAAGTCAATTGAATGTTGTCAGGAATTAGGAATGGAGCAACAGAAAGATGGATGTATTTTGTTTTCCTAGATAATTAACTGTAGACCAGTGCATCCCTCTACGGCTGCCTCTTTTCTGTTCCATTTTCAGACTGGTGAGGAAGGAGCCATGACTTTTTTGAAGTGGCTCTAAGGCAGGGGTGGGCAAACTTTTTGACTTGAGGGCCGCAATGGGTTCATATATTGGACCCGGGGGCCGGACCAAGAGTAGATGAATGATGTGTATGTGTCATCCATAGTAAGCATAGTAATATTCCCCCATAGTAAGCATAGTAATTCATCCCCCATATAGTAATTAATCCCCCACATAGTAATTAATCCCCCACATAGTAATTCATCCCCCACATAGTAATTCATCCCCCACATAGTAATTCATCCCCCACATAGTAATTCATCCCCCACATAGTAATTCATCCCCCATATAGTAATTCATCCCCCATATAGTAATTCATCCCCCATATTAATTCATCCCTCATATAGTAATTCATCCCCCATATTAATTCATCCCTCATATAGTATTTCATCCCCCATAGTACTATTCCCCCCCCCCCCCAAGTAGTAAGCCAAGTCCCCCCTGTGTCAATTCACTTACCTTTGCTCCGCGCGTTCCTCTCGCCGTGTTCCCGCGCCGTTCCGGTCTTCAGGGCGGACTGTGAGAGGAGCCTAGCTCCCCTCACGTTCCTCACGCTGCCCCGCCTACACACATCCTGACAGCCAATGTATCACGCTCCGCGGGCCGGATTAAAAGGTCCGCTGGGCCGTAGTTTGCCCATTGCTGCTCTAAGGGCTCCATGTACTCGGGGCATTTGGAAAACTCTTCTCAATGATGGAAACTGACTGCTGGAAAACTGAGGTTAAAAAACATCAGTTTAGCCGCGTTTGCATACTGTGTTTATGAGCGTTTGCGTTTAGAAGCGTTTTTTTAAAAGCTAACCTCAGGAGACCTTCCAAATGCCCAGAAAGCACTGAAAAACAGTAAAAAATTAACTATTTCAGATTTTTTTAGAGAAATTGAGAGCAGAAGCAGAGAGAGCAGTATGTGTTGAGATGACCTGTCTTTTCTGGTTGTATTCACTATGGATCCCATCATGAGTATAATGCGGCACGTTCTACCATTCTTTTCCTTCACGCAAAACTTGGAACTGACTGCGCTGGTGTACCGGGTCCATTTGAGTACCCGTAAAACACTTTGCATGTATTTCTGATGATGAAAAAAGGCTCTGGACAGCATCTGGATATGGAAAAGTTAAAAAAAAGCTTCTATAAACGCAAACGGTTAACCGCATTTACAAGCATTTGGTGTTTGAAACACCGGTAAAATCTACTCCTGAACGCAAGTTTGGTGCGTTCAGACGACTCAGCTCAACTGCCTGTAAATGACGATGTGTACATGGATACATAGGAAGACATTAGGGAGCGTTCAGGGGCTGCTGAAAAAATGCTCAACAGCTCCTGAACGTCAGTTTATCAGCCGCAGTGTACATGAAGCCTAAAGGTTTAAGGTTTTGTTTACCTTCATGCATGAAAGTAAAAAACCTTCAGTGTGCAGCGGCAGATGTTTGCAGTTTGAAGACAAAAAATAGTTTTTGTATCACTTTAAGCTGCTTTAAATTGCATACATTGTAACTGGAAAACCAGAGAATAGTGGCGTGGTGCTTGTGCTACAGTACACCTTCCCCGTTACTGGTTTATAATGTGCTCAATGCACAACAATAAAATAAAAAAATAATAAAACCTTGTGCTTCTATATAAAAAACAAACCAATACAAATCTATATACAATACGCCTCTCTACTGTGGACCGTATGTTTCCTAAACACTATACAAGTTACTCAGTGTACTAAGTTTTTTTTAAATGTGCATAATATATCAAATCCACATTAAAAAAGCATATACCGTATTTTTCGCTCCATAAGACGCACTTTTTCCCCCCCAAAAAAGGGGGGAAAATGTCAGTGCATCTTATGGAGCGAATATAAAGCGGCCGGTCCGGTATTTCCGCCGCCACCATGTCAGAATACCGGGCCAGCCGCTCAGCTGTTCTCTGCGGCAGGAACTCACCTGTTCCTCGGTCCAGCGGAGTAGTCTTCCCGCCCCGGCATCTGTGACAGCTGGGTGCCCACTGCGCATGCGTGAGAAGCACTGCGCTTTGTGAATGGTCCGGTGTCTTCTGGGACACATGACATGTCCCAAAACACGCCGAGCCATTCACAAAGCACAGCGCTTCTCGCGCATGCGCAGTGGGCACCCGGCTGTCACAGATGTCAACTTTGACAGCCGGGTGCCCACAGTATAGGAAGGAGAACTCCACGGAAGTGGGAGCGAGTACCTGTCAAATTCAGGTACCCGCTCCCCCTCCCTCCCTAAAGGTCCACAGTGTCTGGTCATGCCCTGTACTGTCTGCAGTCACTGGTCATCTCCTGTACTATGTCCGCAGTCTCTGGTCATCTCCTGTACTGTGTCCGCAGTCTCTGGTCATCTCCTGTACTGTGTCCACAGTCTCTGGTCCTTCTCCTGTACTGTGTCCGCAGTCTCTGGTCTTTCTGTACTATGTCCGCAGTCTCTGGTCATCTCCTGTACTGTGTCCGCAGTCTCTGGTCCTTCTCCTGTACTGTGTCCGCAGTCTCTGGTCATCCCCTGTACTATGTCCGCAGTCTCTGGTCATCTCCTGTACTGTGTCCGCAGTCTCTGGTCCTTCTCCTGTACTGTGTCCGCAGTCTCTGGTCATCTCCTGTACTGTGTACGCAGTCTCTGGTCATCTCCTGTACTGTGTCCGCAGTCTCTGGTCATCTCCTGTACTGTGTCCGCAGTCTCTGGTCATCCCCTGTACTGTGTCCGCAGTCTCTGGTCATCTCCTGTACTGTGTCCGCAGTCTCTGGTCATCCCCTGTACTGTGTCCGCAGTCTCTGGTCATCCCCTGTACTGTGTCCGCAGTCTCTGGTCATCCCCTGTACTGTGTCCGCAGTCTCTGGTCATCCCCTGTACTGTGTCCGCAGTCTCTGGTCATCTGTACTGTGTCCGCAGTCTCCGATCATCTCTTGTACTGTGTCCGCAGTCTCCGATCATCTCTTGTACTGTGTCCGCAGTCTCTGGTCATCCCCTGTACTGTGTCCGCAGTCTCTGGTCATCTCCTGTACTGTGTCCGCAGTCTCTGGTCATCTCCTGTACTGTGTCCGCAGTCTCTGGTCCATCTCCTGTACTGTGTCCGCAGTCTCTGGTCCATCTCCTGTACTGTGTCCGCAGTCTCTGGTCCATCTCCTGTACTGTGTCCGCAGTCTCTGGTCCTTCTCCTGTACTGTGTCCGCAGTCTCTGGTCCTTCTCCTGTACTGTGTCCGCAGTCTCTGGTCCTTCTCCTGTACTGTGTCCGCAGTCTCTGGTCCTTCTCCTGTACTGTGTCCGCAGTCTCTGGTCCTTCTCCTGTACTGTGTCCGCAGTCTCTGGTCCTTCTCCTGTACTGTGTCCGCAGTCTCTGGTCCTTCTCCTGTACTGTGTCCGCAGTCTCTGGTCCTTTTTTGCACTTGTGTTTTTGATGCGTTTTTTTTTTTTTTTTTTAATTCATTTTTTAAAAATGTTTCTTGTTGCTAGTCAGATTTAAAATGCAAAACATGGCAAAAAACACAATACATGCTTTTCTGCAGCGTTCACATTGAATTCTAGAGAACCAAAAACACAACATTTTGTGTTCCAAAAAGTCCCTGACCCTTTCCAAAAAAAATGCATTGGGTGAAAACACGGAGATGTATACCTGTCCCATAGGAAATCATGTTAAATGGACTGTACTGCGTTTTCTGCAAAATGCGGTAGGTGTGAACCTAGGTTAAGAGTGTCTTTATAACAATTGAACCATTTCACCATCCCCGATTGTCAGATTGACAAAACGCACTGGGCGGAGCTTAACTTCCGTTATCACTTCCAGCCCTTGGAGCACAGTAGCATTCCATGGTGTCTAACCAGCTTCCTTAATGTGGTTTATACATCTTACAGACCTTGTAAGTGTATTTTGCTTTCTTTTATTTCATCATAATCTATTATTCTATCCTGTTTCCTTCCTGGTCTCTTTTCATATCATCGCGGCCCTGAGCTGGAGAGGCAAAGGATGGGAACCTGCTGATACTAAATGAGGGTTTCTGTGAAGGAGTGTTCAGTGGCTGAAAGGAGAAAGAGAGTGTGAGCACCTGATAGGATGATGGTCAGCCAAGCTTCACCTCATTCACTAAACTGGGGATCATTCCCCTACAATGTGAACAGTCAATTGCCTTTAGTAAATCAGCTCCTATATGAGCTTGAACAAAGACGGCTCCATCCTTCTAGCAAGAAGAGTTAGAGAATATATAAATCCAACATTTCATATTCCTGATCTGTGCTTGCTGTGCCATGTACATATATGAAAAAGTATCCTGGTCTTTGTATTGCTTCCTTTGTGTGAAATCCCTGCAGTGTTGGTGTTCCTGCCAGTCCCTCTGCTTTCCTATTAAAAACTGACCACCCTAGGCATGAGAGCATAGTGTGGTCAGTTTTTTAGTTATGCTAGGAACTCTGTGTTCTCCAATGATCGGATTTGTCCTGACACACAAAACCCCTGCCCCCGGGGACAGCCATTCACTGGGTAGATCAGTGTTCTGCTCTTTCTCCTCCCCCAGCTCTTATGCAGCTGAGAGCAGAGGGAATGTGATCACTTATTTAAAAAAAACATTAGAAATACCTTGTCTTTATATCTGTATGCAAACGTTTTGCCTTTCACTTCTATTTTAAATTTAATGGTTTGTTTTATAAGGTGAGGGTTTACACTCAAATGAAGGCATTGTCTTGAAGAGTACTGTGATCTCTGTGAGAGGTAGTAAATGGCTGGACATGTTAAAATGATGAGTTCTTGAGCATTCCACACTCTGCATAAATAAAATATCTAAAGCGAAGTATACAAGCATAGATTCAATGCCAAAAATGTCAGCAACAATATAAATTGAATACAAAATTCTTCTCTATTGCATAAAGGAGTAAAAATATTCCATGGCAAACTTAATGAATGTGTTTCAGTCTGAAAATAGACCTCCTTCATAGCCCATGAGTTATGAATAAGGTCTGTTTTTAGACTGAAACGCGTTGGCGGAAGTTTGCTATTGAATCATTTTACTCCTTTAGGCAACAGCGAAGATTTTTGTATTCACCTGTTCCTGACATTTTTTTGGAATTGGACTTGTACTTCTAAGCAGATGGAGACTGCTAGTTGGGCACGGCGAGCTTATATGCTTTAAGCCACGGGTGTCAAACTGGCGGCCCTCCAGCTGTTGCCAAACTACAAGTCCCATGAGGCATTGCAAGATTGACAGTTACAAGCATGACTCCCAAAGGCAGAGGCATGATGGGACTTGTAGTTTCACAACAGCTGGAGGCCCACCAGTTTGACACCCCTGCTTTAAGCCTAATACATTTGAAAGGTAGCAGAAGCCCACTTCAGTTTGAACATACAAGCAGAATTATTTTTGAACATAATTTAACCCGTTCCTTCATCCATGCACAGATGGGGGGGCTCTAATGCTTTGGCTATTGTAGTCTAACAGCTGTAGCTTACAACTATCAGGCTCCATGCGCATTTTTTTTTTTTTTTCTGGATCAAAATCGCTGGTAATAGCATTTTCTTTTTAGAAACGTTCGTATTTTGTTAGCTTTTCTACAGTACAGGTAGAGGAAGAAAATAAAGCTGTTAGGAGCATTTTATGATCGTTTGCGCATTTAGCTTTTTTTTCTGCTGGAAAAACGATCCAAAAAAACTCTACAAAAACTTTTTTTTTTTTTTTTTTTTTTTTCTGCTCTTAGACACTAAAGCTCAAAAAAATACTAATAGCCTAAAGTAGTGTGCATGGACACCATTTTGCTTCTAGGAGCTTTAAAAAACACTAGTGTGCATGGAGCCTCAGAATACATGAGCTCTTAAAGCGGAGTTCCACCCCAAAAGGGAAAGTTCCGCTTTATAGATTGGTCTCCCCCACTTCCCATTAAGGATTGGCATCTTTGGGGAGCGGGGTGGGGAATGGGTACCCAAATTTGACAGGTACCCGGTCCCACTTCCGCTTCGATCGCTTAGGCGATTGGAAATGGAAGTTGTCCTCCTACTCTCCCTCCCTGACATCTTGTGGGACACATGACAGGTCCCAGAAGACGACAGAGCCATTCAGGAAGTGCAACACTACTCGCGCATGCGCATTGGGCCGCAAGCTGTCACAGCTGGGTGCCCACACTGAAGATGCCAGCGCCTGGAATACAGGACAGCCGGCTACAGTTTTTGTAGCTGCTGACTTTATTTTTTTTTACAGAGTGAGTGGAACTCCGTTTTAAGCCAGCAATTTCCAGCCCAGCTTCTTTTGATTTCTCAATTGAGGGATGTTGGGCAGGAGGTGGCTGACAGGGCCACACACGTAGTGATTTTGTTAGTGTGCATGCAGCTTCATTTTACCTTCACTTTAGGTGCTGTGTGATTATTTAGCCTTCCCTAAACCCTGATAGTAAGTCTTAACCTCAATTTGTAAAATCTACCCTTAACTGACCACTTCTATCTTGCCTATGTGCAAATCCAGTGCAAGGGCAGGGCCATTGCTGCATCAAAACAGATTCATAAATTTGTATTCTTCTGTTTTTAAAATGTTGTTCAGTGTGCATTGAAAAGGAACTTTGTAAGAAGGCAAGCCCAATGCAGGGGTGGAAACCGGAGATTTCACTACTGATCAAACGGTGTCGGAGTGGACAAACTTGGATGCTAAAACATTTGAAACCCGAGTAATGGCGTAACATTCAGCGGGCTGGTTTGATTTTTCTAAAGCAAGTACAAAGGTTAATTTCCAAGGATTACAGCATTGTGATCCTAGAAATGCCAGACCGAGTGATTGTAGGGGACAGTTTAGGATCAACCCCAGGGGGAGGAGTTAGTTTTTCATCCCACTTCTGACACCATGCATGATCTAGCATTGTATCAAGCAACAACATGCGTTCATTTCTACTATGCCATTATTTTCTTGTTTATTAATGTTTGGTATATACACAGGGATGGAGGTATCAGCTGAACACCACTTTGGCAGACCAGCTGTGTTGTGTGTATGTATAATAAATATACAGTATATAATGTGTGTGTGTGTAAGAAGGGGCTGGGGATCTTCTCCCTGTACCGATGTCTGTATTTGAAGAGTGCAGCTGTGCAGGGCTCCGTTCGCTCGGACGTATCATTCAGAGTTCTGTGAATGAATACCTACAAATACCATCAGCCTTTATGGCTGCCAGATTGTAGTTCTCAGTGAACTGCAAGGATGCTGGTGAGCGCTCTTGTAGTCCATTGAGCTTCATGGACTGCAGTAACTGACTGCCCTTATCAGAGGTATGGGCAGACCGCTACACTGACAGTCTGCAGAAGCCTGACATTGCATCCACTATCTGCTTTTACCTTCAAAAAGATGTGCATTTTTTTTTTTTAATTTTTAAATGGGTGAATTTATCCATTTTAAGGGTGCATTCACACCTGTGAATGTACCCTGGTGCCTTATACATGTGCATGTGATCACAGCATGAGAGAATACATGCGAGTGGCACGATCAGCTGTGAGAGCAGACAGTTTCCAATTTGCTTTCAGTGGGGCTGCCTACTTGCAGCTAATTGTGGGAACCCTCACTGGGGTTTTTGCATGTAACCACTGGCAGGGTGCATTCACAGGTATTAATGTACCTTTTAGGCATCCTATGCATTAGTTATCTTTGTTTGTTCAACCCGCGAGTTGAACAAAAATAGTGACCCGATTCCCCCATCCACACATTCAAAGTGGATGGGGGAATCGCATTCACTGAGCATTTGTATTTTGCCAGTAGGGAGACTTCCCCACGGTCAGAATCAGGGCTGTGGAGTCGGAGTCAGAGGAAATTTTGGGTACCTGGAGTCGGAGTCGGCAAACAATGCTCCAACTCCGATTAAATTTAGATTGGAATTAAAAAAAAAAAAAAGCAAGTTTAAATGTCCCAATTCACAAAAAGTTATAATTAATGACTTCTCTACTGTAAGAATAAAGACCAATGCATGCAGTGCCTCACGTAACCGCAAAACGAACACGTTAAGTGACCGTGAAGAAGCATGCTTTTCATGTGCTTCACTATATGGCACGCAACGCACAATTAGGAGCGGCAATAGTTTATACTTTCCATAGTGTTTTACAGATTTTGTTTTTGGTTCATATAGATAAGCTTTGTTTTTGTTCTAAAACAACCAAATAATGTGATTTGTATTTTTGGACTGGTAAAGTTCCTGTTCCTGATGTTTATGCCTGCTGCTACTATCCAGCCACTTGATTAATTAATAAAAAAAAATTAATAAAACTTTGTTGTTTTCATTGTGTTTGTTTTTTGCTTAAACTGTTCAATACAGTAGACTGTTGGCTTCCCAGCCAGTAGTCCTGTGGTAATGACCTGTATGTTGCCTTTCTTTCCTTCAAGGAATGTATAAAATACATTTGCATATTAATACAGAGGAGTCGGAGTCGGAAGTACAAAAAACTGAGGAGTCGGAACATTTATCTACCGACTCCACAGCCCTGGTCAGAATTTACTAACCAGTATTGCCAGCTGTGGCCGGCAGTGCTGATCATGCAGAAAGTTTCCAACAGGCTGGTTTTACAGAATTGATATGTAGATTGACTCCTGTACACTCAGCCTTCCCATACATGGACCAAAATTCGTCTGTTCACTGTTGAGCCAGCTGAATTTCCATCCATGTATGACTGGCTTTAATGTAGATGTTTGCCTCCAACAACTGATGTTCAGAGTAGATCAGATAATGTAGTGACTCTGCTAGTCCATTTAACAGTTGGATAGCACATCAAGTGCATTAGTTTCCATTAAGTCAGCTGAAACACTTGTATTGTGATAAGGAGCTGTAAAATGCTTCCATTGTGCAGCACTGCATAGAAGGAGCGCTTGGCTTTATAATGAGTTAATTTCACAGCACAAGGTCATTTGTCCGTAAAAATAGCATTTTCTTGAAAGGTCCGTTTCAAGATATATTGATGAAATGATTTACATCAGTGTATTTGTTTACATGTTTATAAACATTGAGCTTGATATGTGGCGGCATTACCCGATACACAATCTGATCAATATTTATCTCCTGTGATTTTTTTTTTTTTTTTTTTGCAGAGATTTCCTTCCCCGTGGATCTGGAATTGTTACACGTCGTCCCCTCATCCTTCAGCTCATCTTTTCAAAAACAGGTAAGTCTCTGCTACATCTCTCCATTCATGTATTAGGGGATTTACAAAAATTGTACCAAAATCATTTGGGTGCAGTTATTTTTTTTGCTGTAGTTAATGGAGTTTCTTTTGTCCATTTCCATTGGTTCAGTCTGGCATGATTAAAGCCAATCTTGAGCCTTGGTTGACACTCAGTAGCAGAAAGTCAAGCAAATGGGAAGTTTGTATGAGGTACAAGCTACAGCTTCACCCCAAGATTTTCCACTGTGGACACACTAATTGACGTGGGGCACACTAGTCTTTGCCTAATAGCCGCTGTGAACACTAGGAAATTGCCTAGGTCAAAAAAAGACTTTCCCATGTAAGCACAGATTGACTGTGCACTTTATGAGCAATTGCAGCAATGTCTGTTTGCCTGACTGTTGCTAACTGAACAAGTAAAATGAGCAGAGAGCAGGAGCCTGTCTTTGAAGATCCTGCGCTCGGAACAATTACAGCACATGCCTTCAGCTTTATTTTGTTTTGACACTCTTGAGAATGTTTTTCACAAAGTCTCAAGAATGTTTCTTATCTCTGTGCATATACGCTGCATTTAATGGCTAAAAGCTTGGTCTGCTGAATATGCTTGAAATAAATTACTTCTATGCATGCCATTTTATGGTGAATTTATCAAGGGATTCCCCAAAGAGGCATTCACAAAGGAGGTGACTCAGAAAGGTGCTCCTTACCCCCCCCCCAAAAAAAAAAAAAAAAAAGGCCTAAGTCTCTGGCTTCTACCTCCACTCAATGAAAGGGATTGTTTGCTCTCCCTGAGCATCAACCTCAAATCCAAGTCTTAACACTTTCACTTGTTGCAAGTCTTGGCCCACTAAACCCACCAAGCCTAAATAGAAGGCCTCTTCACAATGAAAAGGGGGGAGGGGGGTACTCCTCTGAGTGGGGTAGAGATATTTCTGTTAGTGTTGCCAATCTGGATCTGAGATGTCCTGGACCTCTGGGTCCAATCTGTCAAGCCCAGAACAAAGAGAAGCATATTTTATGACCGCCTTGCACCAGCTTCAGGCTCCAGGGGTAGTTCTACCAGTTCCTTCAGAAGAACGGTTTCAAGGCATCTATTCTAACCTGTTAACAGTCCCAAAACCAAATGTGGGCATCCACCCAATGCTGGACTTAAAATCCCTAAACAGATTTTTTTTTTTTTTTTTTTTTTTTTTTTTGTGTACCAAAATTCCAGATGGAATCCACAAGATCCGTAATTGCTTCTCTCAGACCAGGAAAATTTCATGCATCAGAAATGCCTATCTAGACATTCTCTTCTTACCATCACACCAACTCCTTCTGCATTTTGTTGTTGTATGCTAGCACTTCCAATTTGTGACACTGCTATTCAGGCAGATCTTTTCACCCAAAGTGTTCACAAAAGTGCTTGCACCACTTCTGCTCTCCTACAAATCCAGTCATTTATGTCACAGGTTACCTAGGCTACCTACTATTAAGGGACTCCTCAGCCATACGTCTGCCAGCGTTCAAAGGTCAGTTCAATTCCTTCAAGCCGTTAGCTGAAAAGTCAATGTTGCAAAATCTCCTCTCACACTGCCTAGAGTACCTGGGTCTTATCCTGGATACAACCAAGGCCAGAATCTTCCTTCCTCAGGAGAAACATTTGCCTCCCTAAAGTCCTATACTTGGATCCTCAGGTCAAAATGGCTCCCCTCAGTTGGCTATATGAGAGTTTCTTGGCCTCATAGTGGCCTTCTTCCCTTTTTACAGACAAATGGCAAATGCCCCAATCTACAACTGGCCTTTGAGCTGGGATTTTTTCTTTTTTGTTGTTTGCCATGCATTACCCTTCCATGTGCTCCTTGCTGGACTTACCGACCAGCCTGCAACCAACTGAATTGTCCTGTCTTAACAGTTTGCTTGCACACACTTGCAAATACATGTGTAAGCTGCAGAGCCTCTTCATAGCACCCATTTCTTTTCTGCAGTCCTAACTCTATAATTTTGAGAGCCTCAATGGTAGAAGCACGTGTATAATAATGGATAGACTGAGGGAAGATTATCGTGGATGGAGCCCACCCTTCGTTAATGGCACAGGGGTGCACTGAACACTCAGCACAACGGTGGCAATGGTGTCAAGTGCTCCCCTTTACCAGTATTACAACAAGACAAAGAAATGGAAACCGACCCAATCTATAACTGGCCTTTGCAGCAAGGAGCACGTGGAAGGGCAACACCCAGTTTTGTCCAGTTATACTCTAGACCTCTCCAATCTAACATACTTAAAACATGGAACAAGTAAATCTAATGCTTGGATTGCCCACTTCTTCTATTGTGCCAAACAAAGATTTCTCTGGCCTAGTGGATCTCCAATCCTTGCCTTGGAATTGAGAAAGTCATTCCTTCACATGCCTTGGAATGTGGGGACAACAGATTCCAGTCTTGCAGGTTTACAACTCTGGCTGCCCACGGGACACGGTCCCCACAGGAGTCGTCTTTGACCCCAAGATCTTTCAAAATCTGTCAAAGGTGGAGAAAAACAGATGTGGACATACTGACCTTGAGATTCACTAAAAGCTGAACAAGTTGGTGGTCAAGGCCAGGGATCCTTCTAGCCTTCAGAGTAGATGGCTCTGGTGATTCCATGGACACAATTCTAACTGGTTTATGCCTTCCCTTGGATAAAGATCCTCTATCAACTCCTGTGCAAGATAGGAGAAAAGGGGTCCCCATGATTCTTATTTCAGCAAATTAGGACAGAAGAACGTGGCACAATTGTACTCAGACTTCTGGCAGCTGAATTTTGGCCTCTTCCAAACTTACTGGCCCAGGGTTCCCTTTTTTCATCCCGCTCCTCAGTCACTGGCTTTAACATCATGGCTGTTGAAACACAAGTCCTAGAGGATAGGTGGGGGGGATCTCTGATGCGGTTATTCCCAACTTAAGCTGGCCGTACCTCTTAAACAAAATTCAGCCAATACATGTGTCCCTGTTCATGAGAAGTTGATCTATCAATTGACTTCCCATGAACGAGCTTGTTAGAAAATTGTTTTGATCAACACATGCAGCCAGGATCAGTGTATTCTGATGGCATGGGGGACCCGTTGTCAGAATACAATGGCACAGTGGGGAGGATTCCTTCATCCAACTTAAATGTGTGGATGAAAGATTTGGTTTCAGTTTTTTTTTTTTTTTTTTTTTTTTCCAGTTTGCTTGCTGAATGAAGAAAACTGAACTTTATTCTGAGCAATTAAGTCCCAGCTCCTACAAAATTGTCCTCACGCCATGCAAAGAAGGCCTTCCATATGCCATAAGACAATTGAACATTAGGGAATGCTCTATCACTCGTAGTTTGTCCTTTTCTTCAGTCTGATGTTGGCCAACGACTGGCCTATAGCATACTCAAGAGATGAGTTTCTGCTTTATCTGTCCTCTTCCAGAAACCTACCTTGCAAATACCTATGGAAGACCTTTCTTCAGGATTCTCTGAATCAACTTCCTGTGTCACCTTGGGATCTTAACCTGGTGCAGTATGCTTTTCAGAAGCCCCTCTTTGAACCAATTGGAGACATTCCTTTGGAAGTCCCAACATGTATGATTGCCTTCCTGTTCACGATCCTATGTGTCTGAGTTGGGGGCTTGCTTTTGTATAGAGCCTTCTCTTGTTTTGCACTAGGACAAAGTAATTTTTGAGACCAAAAACTTCATATTTTATTTAAGGTGTTCTCTTATTTTCACTTCAATGAGGACATGGTCTTCCCTTCCCCCTGTCCTTCTCCAAAACATGGCAAGGAAATTGCCTTATGCTGTTTGAATGTGGTTATGGCTGTCAGTCTACTTGGCAGCTTCAGCCTCTATATATGAATCCTTCTTTGTTTCTCATAGTGGACATCCTGCTTCCCACTCCACCATTGCCAGGTAGATCAGACAACTGCTGTCCAGGGCCTATGCCAGGGGTGTCAAACTGTGGCCCTCCAGCTGCTGCAGAACTCCCAAGTCCCATGAGATATTGCAAGGCTGACCGTTACAAGCATAACTTCCAAAGGCAGAGGCATGATGGGATTTTTAGTTCCACAACAGCTGGAGGGCCACAGTTAGACACCCCTGGTTTGCGCCCATGGAGAGAGAATTCTTCTCTTCCCCATCAAAGCTTGTTCCACCAGGGCCTATAGTGTATCTTGGACTTTTCAGCGTTGAGTATCTGTATTTGCATGGAGTTCATGTGGTTTCCAGGTTTTGCCAGGTAGATGTTCAGGCCTCAGGTACCTAAGCTGTCATCAGAGTATTTTTGTTTGGGTTCTCTAAACCCTTGTGTGTTTTTTGTTTCTTGACCCTCTGTTTCATTGCTTGGGTACATCTAATGTTCTAAGAATACAAGTCTGGTACTGTACAAAAGAATTTTACAGGTAAGTCAAAATTCCTGTTAATTTTAATTTGTACAGGACTCTTTTTTTTTATTTCTATTGCTTGCTGAAAAAAAATAAAAAAAACCTGGAGTCTCCAAGTGGGTGGGACTGTAATGGTCTGGTTTAGGGGCAGCCCTAGCAGGTTTTTTGCCAGTGTCCAACTGTGCTGAGTGGCTGTCCTGCATTGTGAACACAGGAGGTGGCCTGCTCAGTAGGGGCTCCATTCAGAGATCTCTCTGCTTTTCCTCCATGGATACAAAACGTTCTCTGATTGGAAGAGGCGGAGAAGAGGGGTGGTGATATCACAATGGCACCTATGCCAAGCGAGCAAACTCCTGTGTTCAGTAAGAGGGCATTTGTTTGGCATGGGATCCGAAAGCTTGTGGAGATGACTGTGGTAGCCGTGCCTACTATGCTGATTGCCAACTTCCAAAGAGATTAGCCAGGTATGGTATAATGGTTTGAGCTATCCTGCTTCTACCTAGTAAACTGCCATTTATTTCCTCCATCATCTCATCCCCCCACAGCTATTATCTTTTGTATCACTCAACCCTTCCTCCTAGATTGTAAGCTCTAACGAGCCGGGTTCTCTGTTTCCTCTTGTACCAAATTGTA